ATTACCTTATTTCCATTTTCAGCATTTAAGTAAATGTCTTTGTCATTTTACTTTAATTTATTTTTATATTACTCCATTTACTTAAGTTTACAATGTAAATAAGGAAGTACCCCCCATTTGGATTCAAATAAAAATACTAGAAAATCAAATTCCTACCAAATCAAAATATGAAAAATCAGTTTTAGTGCAAAACACAATTTAGGCTAAAAATGATGGCTCATTAAGTCAATATATACTTTATACTAAAATCCTATAAAATAAAATTTTCTTATTTGATGTGTAAGGAATAAAAGCTGCAAAAAATTATCTTGAAAAAATGATTATTTCGAAAAAACCATTTTTTCATATATGATATGAATGCATGAAGGGAGCTAAGGTTTTTTTTTAGTTTGTGAAATTTGTATTTTTTCTTTCTATTGGGTTTAATGGGGGAAAAAGCTTTAAAGAATTTTGCTAAATTGCTACTCTTTTTCTATCTCTTACAATTTTTCGTGCTTAAGATGTATTTGTCTATCCCTTTGTCGAGGACAATTATGATTGCAACCAATAAGCAATATAATTCTTGACATATGTGATATATATATACTATTTTTCATATGTATTGTGAGTTCAAACTTTTGATTCTTTATAATTTGTAAGAGGCCCCCACCCACACACATGAAATCCTAACTTCGCCTCAAGTCTTTTTCGAGAAGGCTGGAGGAGTCATAATGGTCCCGCTTAAAATCCTTCTTAAACACTGGAGGTGTCTCCTTAAAGAACTTTCCTAGACACTCTAACGTTGAAAGTAACTCATTGGAGTTACCAAGAGTTAACTCCTTCCAAGAAGGTCCTATGAGTTTTAATCCTACTAAAAAAACTAAAAAATAAATAAAAACTGAAATAAACACAACAATTCAAGCAAGAATTTAAAAGAAGAGTTGGAATTTTTGCACCAGAAGTCCAAGACGCATCTTTAAGTCCTTATCCACTTTCAAATAAATCCTTATGAAACCTTTAAAAATAAGAAGTGAACAAATTATTTCCAATATAGAAAGAAAAATAAATACACAAAATAACAAAAGGAAAGGAATTTTTTTATTATTTTTTCAGTTTTGTTGCACTTCTTCAAAATCAAAGGCTCCACCAATGACGATTAAATGATAATCTGAAAAAAAAAAAAGAAGATAAAAGT